AAATCATCTTTAAAGTTGTCCAAATGAAGTTCTTAGCAATGCATATTACTAATCAAAAGTTAAGTTTTGATATATTTACGGTAGGAAATTTACAAAATATCTTCATGGAACATGATCTTTACTTAATATCCTAATGATTTTTGGCATAAAAGAAAAATCGGTAATTTTTACCCATACAATGTATTGTTGTTGGCTATTGCTACAAATATACCCGTGCTACTTATGACTGGTTTTGTGGTCCAGGGTCACATATTATAATGGGTTTATGTTAATATTGTTTTAAGATCACTTAAAAGTTATGAATTTTTTATTTTCTGCAAATGTTAATAAATAATAAAACACCTGATAATTTGCCGTTTATACACACACACACACACACACACACATTTTCAGTACAAAATGGATGTTGTTAGGTATGGTGCAAAGATCAGTCATATTTCAGAGCCAGAACTAACAGTTTTATAAATGGATGCAATCAAAACCACTCAGTCGCTCCAGAGGGTTTCGCAGAAGGTACAGGAAATGTGAGCAGCCTCAATAAATACAAGCCTTGAAATTTACATTCTGGGTTGAATCTAACAATCTCCGCCAGAGGAGGAGACAAGGCTCATCAGCACTGATCATAACAGAAGGGAAACACAGCAAAGCTGATCCAGAACAATAGCAGCTTAATTAAACAAAACACAATCTCTTTAAAGACGTGCCATGTCTCTGGAAAGAATTAACTGGGCCACTTTGTAAACCAGGCAATGGAGATTGTGAAAAATGTGAGTGTGGACATCAGCAGTGATTGAAACTTGACCATGGTTAATCAGAGAATGTCAATCTTTTGGCTGAACTATTCCTTTAAAACCTTTGTCTAACCTTTCCTGATAGCCATGAATATCACATTAGTCTTCACTAAGTATCAGTGTAGTTTTTTTAAAGTGAAAAGCACCAGAAATATTGGAAAGAGCTTCTTCTGATCTTCCTCTAGATCAGGGGTCACAAACATTGGCATGTAGAGCCTGTTTCATTTTATTACGAGCTGAATGAGAAGCCAAACACAATTATTCTCTACAGCACAAACACAATAAAGCAATCACAAGTTGCATATCAATTTGGACACTGTTACACAGGTCCGACTTTGTCAGCAGAACTGCAGAATGGATAATAGCCTGCAGTTTGTTCTGCTTTTTCCCTCGCCTGCTAGCTTTCAAAGCAACTATTGAGATAAATACAAAATGACCAGTATTAATGAGGGGTTCAAACCACCCAGCAAACACAGTCCTTAACATTCCACACACAGACCACAATGACAGTAATTCTCCAAACAGCATAATTAAGGGAGAGGCCTGTTCTTAACACTCTTAACCCAAAGGCAACAGACATTACCAAAACTAATATTTTGTAAATAGCTACACTAGAGTTCAAAAGTCTGGGGTCAGTAAGATTTTTTTAAATAAATTAAAACTTTTATTTAGCAAAAACACACTTAAATAATCAAAAGTAACAGTAAAGATTGTTATATTGTTACAAAAACATTCAACTTCAATAAAATTCTGTTCTTTAGAGCTTTCCATTCATCAAAAAAGCCTGAAAAAAATGATATGTTTGTGTATGATATGTATGTAATTTTTCAGTTTACACAAAATTATATTATATTAGAATTTTGCGTTGATTTCTGAAGGATCATGTGACACTGAAGACAGGAGTCATGGCTGCTGAAAATTTAATTTTAGGATACATTAAAACAGCTATATATTATATATTTAATAAAAATAAAACAATGTTACTTTAAATTGCAATAACATTACACAATGTTGCAGTTTTTGCTTTATTGCTGTGACAATTCTTTTTTTTCCACTTAAAGTGCAATAAAAAGGTTATTAGTCAGTTATTAAAATGCTTTATTTTAAATTATTAAAATGCTTTATTTTCAAAAATGTCCAATTATATTTTCATAGAAGCCTGATAAAAATACTAATTTAAAAGAAAAAATCTCAGATAGACTCATAATTCATAATGTTTAAAAAAATAAAACTTGTCTAGATGCTTTTAACGGCTGATTTAGGATACCTTGAAATAGGACAGACAGAAAAACTCACAAGCATGTGTCTGGGTCCATAGAAGTCATCTTAGGGAACCAGCAGTAGTCATAGATGGTGTCTCCTTCTGCCATCTTCAGCACTGGACTCTGAGTGCACACAAACAAAAACAGCATTATGGGCTCATATCCTGCATACAGAAAATCAGACTGCTTACACAGACTGTTTACAGATTTACATGCATATCAAGGGTTTGGAAATACAGTAAAAAAAAAAGTGATCCTTTCACTCCAAGACTTTCAAAATGAAGATGCTGGTATTAAAGGGATAGTTTAATTCACCCAAATTCACCCAAAAATGAAAATCCTGTCATCATTTACTCACCTTCAAGTTGCGTCAACCCTATATAGGTTTATTTATTCTGTTGAACACAAAAAACAAAAAAAACAAAGCTGATGGTCCCCATTGACTTCCACAGTATTTTTCTTACTATGGAAGTCAATAGGGACCATCAACTGCTTGGCTACCCACATTCTTCAAAATATCTTCTTTTGAGCTCAACAGAAAAACGAAACTCATACAGGTTTGGACTAACTTGAGGGTGAGTAAATGATGAGAGAATTTTCACTTTTGGGTGAACTATGCCTTTAAGTAGAATCTACATTTAAATTGTGTCACAAGCCATCATCTTAAACACTGGCCTAAAATCAGTTCTACAAACAAAGGGAACTGATCTCAGCTTAGTATTTTTACTTGTACACATAAATATGACAAGATATTCTAGAAGAGGCTGACCATTTCAGAAAGCATATCCCAGTGGCTGCTGTACAGCTCAGGCGGGAGGTTATACACACGAAGAACATTATCAACGCTGTTTGAGACAATGCAGGAACCATCCGGAGCCCTGCAGAGAGACGTCATAAAGAGAGATAGACAGCACATTAGCATCTCTGTGATACAGTTTACACTATACAGCCATCATAAACAGCTTGCTTTTATCAGTGGTCACCATTTGCAGCCTCTGAGGTAATTCTCAGCGGTGTGAGTGTACTCGGCCCAGGAGCCTGTCAGCATTTGAGGGTTCTGGCTGAAGTCGAGGCCTTGACTGTGAACACGGCAAAGAGACAGCATTGAGCAGCCACACAACGACCAGCTGAAAATACCCCTGTCCCACTGCAACTGTGTCACAACGCATTTGTTCCTACCATGTTCTCTTTCACAATAGCTTATGATGAGCGGTACACTTACTAGCGCTGCTCAGCAGACTTGTCTTCTGAATCATTCTTCTCAGGCTCATCTGCTCTGTCCTCCTCAGTCGGTCCGAGTGTTTCTCTGTTCTCTGCTCCGTTTTGATGCCATTCCACATCTCCTTCAACTTCCTCAGGCCCCATAGCCTGTCCTGTTTCATCAGTCTGATGACAGGCAACTGACAGAATCAAAATAACACAGACACCTTAGTTGACAAGTAAAGTAAGATGCTAATGTGTGGTACTTTATTTACAGAATTTAGAAAAGTGCATTTCAGATGGACTTTAAATTAGATAAAAGGAAAATACACTAAAAAAATCTGTCAACATTTCCTCACCTTTGTTGATCTAAACACATTTGACCTTCTTCTTCCATAGATAAGAAAATGAAGCATGTTGCATGATATAGCTTAATGATGGCTCTTTTCCAAACAATTACAATAAATGGGGAATGAGGCTTTTTAAGCTCCAAAAGCATCACAAAATATGGCTTGGGTGAATTTGAATTCTTTTGAAGTTCTAAAACAATCTTCTCTGAAGCTGCAAAGCTCCATTTCTCTATTCATTGAGATGGCAGGGAAAAGAGATACGAATACATTTCAGTACAGGTTTGAAATTTCATAACTTTTTATTAATGACATTTTTGTTTTTGCATGAACTATTCCTTAAAAGGTGCACAATATAGTATGAACATATAGAACTTAATGCTGTAATTTTTTATTTTATTGTGACAAAACGTACATTTTTGTGTCAAGTATCTGTTGTCCAAAACTTAATTTATATTATATAATTTTTTTCCCCTTAAAACACTTTACTAATTTCATTTAATTAAACATAAGCCAAATATTAACTTGCATGCTGGTAATAGCGTCAGTTTTTAGTGAATCCCAGGAACTAAATAAGTAAACATACCCTTTTTTTGTTGTTTGTAAGAATGGGTACATTCATTTTTCCAGTATTTCTAATTTAATGTATTAAGTAATGTCCCGATTTAAATGTTTTGTTTACTACAAGATTACACAATTTTACAAAACACTTTACATACAAAACACATTTAATATAAACAATATATAACATATATATGTACCCACTGTATGTATTGTTGACTATAATAAGAGTGGAGTACATTCATTTTTCCAGTATTTCTAATTTAATGTATAAGTAATGTCCCGATTTAAATGTTTTGAAAACAGAAATTGTTTTAAAAAATATTTCATATTATGTCCACTCACATGATGTAGATCTCAGTCATATTAGTGGATTTATAAAATCTGTTATGTTTTACATAAAGCAGGTCACCTCATATTGTATATTGTAAAAAAAAAGAAAGATTCTTAAGATCCATCTTTACTAAAAACCTAGCTGAATAAAATTATTTCCTCTGGGGGTTAAAAACTGCACAACCAAATCCAGTTATATACATATATTTACACATGTATGCACCAGTCGACCATGGCTTGTTCCCTGGAGGCAATTGAGGCACTATTCACTACTTTAATGTTACCTGCTGACTATCTGTGATTAAAGGCAGCTATACTGGACATGTGAACAACATTCAATGGCATTCACTTGACGAACCATGTTAAAAAAATGAACCCTGAACTGTTCAATCACATTTTATTTCAGATCCAAGAAAAATAACATCACATCCAAATTTTTGGAAGGAACCAGCAGTTCACTTGCAAAGTGCTGCCTAACTACAAAATTGGATGCATATGAAAAACTAAAGGACAAGATCCATGTAATTCTTTAAATATGGCAGCAGGAGTACCACGTATGGAGTTTATATCGCATATTAAGACATCAGAGGGGCATATTGACAGCGTGCCAAACAGGACGCTGTAAATCAGACGTTAAGACAACGGCCTCACCTTCCTCTAAAGTCGCAGCTGCACCTTGGCTCCCACATGTGTCTGCTGAAGGCACCACAGCCATCTGTATCATTTGTAAATCAAGACCTACATCTTCCTGCTCCAGCCGAGGCTGTTTTGCTGCTGGTGGTGCTTCCTCTTCTCCTTCCACCTCTCCCTCATGAGGAGGTTCCCCATCAGCTTCTGCGTCCTGCCCTGCACCACCATCACTGCTCTGAGCTGCACCGGACATCTCTGTGTTTAGTGGCCTGTAGAACATGCACAAATCATATCATTTCAGTCATGGATTTCACATACAGATTACATACAGTGGCAGTGAGCGTTTAACTATCTGACAACAATGTGCAATAAGATACACAGTACTTTGTATTTTGTTGTAAACCGTATTATTTACATTAGAATCAGTAAAAACAGTGAAATCACTTATAATTATATATAACTCATTTATGAAACCCATAAATTCCTTACTAAATTAATAGTTTCTGCTATATGCATATCAAAGTTTCAAAAGAAAATAGGCAGAAAATCCTACCTTAGGAATCCTTTACCTTTTGATCAACAAAATAATGTATAATTTATAAACGATAATGAATAGTGATGTGTCAGGCAGGGAATTTTCTTTTACGGTGTGTGTGTATATATAATTATGTTTACTACAAGATTACACAATTTTACAAAACACTTTACATACAAAACACATTTAATATAAACAATATATAACGTATATATTGTAAAGAACTATGTATTGTTGTCTATAATAAGAGTTTTTTTTACAGTAAGTTATTTCTACACACAGACATATATAATGCATCATTTTATATATAGCCTATATATACCGGTACAAGGTAATTCGTTTTTACCTCCAGAAACCACAGCTGCTAGATTACATGGAGCTACTGTCCTAATAAAACTAATATACATATTGTAATATGTAGAAAGTTTTCAGGTTTTTGCGGCTGCATTCTTAAAATTACGAATGTTTTTCAGTGTAACAGCATTTTGACTCGTCTAGCCAAAAAGAGTCACTCTACCTGTTGTTTCTTTAATTCGTATCAGTCGTGTCTTGTGCTCTGGATCTTACAAATCACGACAAAATTCCTCAGTGTATGTGTTTTACTAAATTCAGATGACAGTTTCCGAGCAGCTCAACCATAAGCGCGTCGCGTTCAACCTACAACACAGGAACTCACGCGTCGTGTTTGTAAGCGCAAGGGCGCCGCCATGCCTGCATAGTATGCGTTGCCAGGTCACCTGACTCTCGCGATATTTGCGTCGTACTCCGCTTCTACACAGATAGGACGTTTTGGACAGAAATCCAACTTTGAATTCCAATAATCAGTATTTTACTACTTACTTTAAAGGGATAGTTCACCCAAAAATGAAAATTTGATGTTTATCTATTACACAATTAATCATCTTAAAAGGGCAATACCATACTCAAGAGAGTGACATGTGCAGCACCTCCACCAACAAATCACATCCTTTCTGCTCTTTAGCTCAGTAACAGCTGAAGCTGACACTCAAGCATGTGTTAGTAAAAGTACTTCTACACAGCCACGTCTATTTTGAGCTCAAAAATGAAGACATTTGACACACAATTCTGACCTGGAAACTTTTTTGCTGCCTTCGAGTATTGAAAACACAAACATTAGGGTGTATCATCATACTTGCCCAGTTACAACCACGAATTAATTACACGTCTTTTGTGGGGATCATTTGTAATGTTATATAAATAATTTCGCAGGTTCATAATGTTTCAAGGGTTTCTTAAATAAAATCACACGCTATTATGTCACAGAGCTAGTCTCGCTGACTGTTAACACTTTTTTTGTTTGTTTTACTCATCTTAAGTGTGCCTTAACAGGCAAAACTGAACTGTTAAGGCATGTCATAAAAGAGAAGAAAAGAAAAAAAATCAAACAAAACTGAAACCCAACAGAGAAAGGGAAAAGGGTTAGGGTTATATACATTGTTTACATGGCAGCCAGAGATGAAGTGTAGTAGAACTGTGTTAAGCCATGTCAGCGAGTGTGTATGTGTGTGTGTGTGTGTGATCAACAATTCATTTTTTGGACGTGTGTGTATGCAGGTGTATTTCAGTTATTAATGTGTGTGCAGTGTTTGACCCTGGCTGCACTCGAGCAGAACTATTCTATGCAGGTTCTAGATCTCATAGTTCGCTGTTCCAGCATTCACAGTTCACTCCCTCCTCCTAGCAAGGAAACACGTTCCTCCGAGTAGTCCGAATATGGTGCATTGAAACTGCAGGCCTCCACTTCTTCCGGGGCTTTTAGTTCTTGTCATGCAGTCATCATTTCACGTGCTGTTTGAAATTCCTGACCTTGGGATCTTTCTCTGAAGGATGAGGACAGGAATTAAGGGGAGGTGGAGATGCAACACGAAGCACTGGAGAGCCTCCGTCTTCATCAGAAGATCTGGTACAGCAAAGATCTAATCAAAACAGAGAAAAGGAGGAAGAATAATTTTTTTTTTTAAAACAATGTGAGGAACATAACATCATTTAAGAAGAAAAAAAATCAGGAGTAGATCTAAGTGTTTTTTTAAGTGTAAAAACTTAAAAAATACTGTTTTTGGCTAGGATGTTCAGGGAGTTGCAAAGTCTTTTCTTGCTAGTAGAACAAACCTTAACGTAAAGTGGCTCAACAGTTATTACGTTTGAAAGGAATAGGGGAAGGAAAATCAATAAATGGATGAAACAATAAATGAATGAACATATATAACCAAACAAATGAATGTCATTACCAAACAGACGGTCTTGCAGCACAGTAACCACTTCAAGCCAAAGGTGAACTTCAGCCATGCAGTCAGCAGGTGGCGATAAAGCTGATGGAGCTTATTGGCTCTTTATCTCCAACACAAAAAAAACTGTCCTCCAGTCTTTTTTTTTTTTTAAGTATTTTTCAGTCATCAACGAAATAATCAATTCCAGTCCACAAAAAAAAAAAAAAAATTTGCGTTGGCTAGCACCCTGGACCGAGCAGTTGAATCCTTTTTACATAACGGAGAACACTGTTGAGTGAATCTGTTCTGAATCTCCACATTGTAACCAAGTTTGGTATAGTCTTAAATATCAACATTGCTCAGTGAAAATCCTCCATGGGAAAATTCCAAGGATTTTTCCCCAAGTCCTAATGTGTCTGAAACGTCCCTTATCCATTTACGGTTAAAGCTTGCGTGGTGGCGTTCTCAAGCAGACTGAGAAACAACCACCTTAAGGAAAACGAGTCTCATGCAAGGGCGTCAAAATCTCTCGAAGCGTCCATCTGCTGACAGAAAGCGGGCATCTTGCGTTCCGTCTGCACTCTCCGAGCCCAAGTGAAAGTTCCTCACAGTTTTAAGCAAAGGAAAAGTGCATAGTGAGGGTATCAGGGCAGTGCTAGTCCCTTTGTTATCTTTATGAAGATGATGGCCATGACACCCCGTCCCCACTCAGAGAGAAGGGGAAGAATACAACAACAAAAAACACGATCACACTGTCCAAGGAATTATCTGGCAGATCTGAGGTCATACATATGTTCTTTTGTTGTTCTTCTCATCAACATCCATCACAGATATGTCCATCCAAAATAATCCACAAGCCAAAAAATGATTGGGTAAAAGGGACAAATGTTAAAGCATTCAATATGCATCTTACAGTACCAAGAGGTCATCTGTGCTGTCTTGATTTTTGCCTTCTTTCCAGGTACATAAAGCATTTCTTCTGTCTTGATGATCAATTTGATTCCATTACAAAGAAAGATTAGTCAAAGGTAAACAAACGAACAGAAGTTCGCTAAACAAATATGGTCGCCTTTATGATTCTTAAAAACACACCCCATCCGTGAGATAAAGGTACATGAAGAAATCTTTGATGTAATTCCATTACTTGTGTTCCAGCGATCCAAGTTTGTTTCAGTCAGCAAGTTATATAGGCTGCGCTCATATCCACATGCAAAGGAAGGGTCTGACGTCATGCCATTAAATTCCCCCCCGACAAAATGATTCTTAACTGCAGAATCGCATATTTAATCACCACAAAAATAAAGGGGAGAAAAGCACACACAAACGTCTGTGTGGTTTGTAAACAACCAAAACTCCAGTATGGAATAAAAGTTCTCTTTTTCATAGTCAAAGTCTGTATGAACAGGATTGTAAAGGCAGTGTGTTTTTGTCTAAGCTTTTCGATTTCGCTCCGATGCAACACGAAGCACTGGAGAGCCTCCGTCTTCATCAGAAGATCTGGTACAGCAAAGATCTAATCAAAACAGAGAAAAGGAGGAAGAATAATTTTTTTTTTTAAAACAATGTGAGGAACATAACATCATTTAAGAAGAAAAAAAATCAGGAGTAGATCTAAGTGTTTTTTTAAGTGTAAAAACTTTAAAAATACTGTTTTTGGCTAGGATGTTCAGGGAGTTGCAAAGTCTTTTCTTGCTAGTAGAACAAACCTTAACGTAAAGTGGCTCAACAGTTATTACGTTTGAAAGGAATAGGGGAAGGAAAATCAATAAATGGATGAAACAATAAATGAATGAACATATATAACCAAACAAATGAATGTCATTACCAAACAGACGGTCTTGCAGCACAGTAACCACTTCAAGCCAAAGGTGAACTTCAGCCATGCAGTCAGCAGGTGGCGATAAAGCTGATGGAGCTTATTGGCTCTTTATCTCCAACACAAAAAAAACTGTCCTCCAGTCTTTTTTTTTTTTTAAGTATTTTTCAGTCATCAACGAAATAATCAATTCCAGTCCACAAAAAAAAAAAAAAAAATTTGCGTTGGCTAGCACCCTGGACCGAGCAGTTGAATCCTTTTTACATAACGGAGAACACTGTTGAGTGAATCTGTTCTGAATCTCCACATTGTAACCAAGTTTGGTATAGTCTTAAATATCAACATTGCTCAGTGAAAATCCTCCATGGGAAAATTCCAAGGATTTTTCCCCAAGTCCTAATGTGTCTGAAACGTCCCTTATCCATTTACGGTTAAAGCTTGCGTGGTGGCGTTCTCAAGCAGACTGAGAAACAACCACCTTAAGGAAAACGAGTCTCATGCAAGGGCGTCAAAATCTCTCGAAGCGTCCATCTGCTGACAGAAAGCGGGCATCTTGCGTTCCGTCTGCACTCTCCGAGCCCAAGTGAAAGTTCCTCACAGTTTTAAGCAAAGGAAAAGTGCATAGTGAGGGTATCAGGGCAGTGCTAGTCCCTTTGTTATCTTTATGAAGATGATGGCCATGACACCCTGTCCCCACTCAGAGAGAAGGGGAAGAATACAACAACAAAAAACACGATCACACTGTCCAAGGAATTATCTGGCAGATCTGAGGTCATACATATGTTCTTTTGTTGTTCTTCTCATCAACATCCATCACAGATATGTCCATCCAAAATAATCCACAAGCCAAAAAATGATTGGGTAAAAGGGACAAATGTTAAAGCATTCAATATGCATCTTACAGTACCAAGAGGTCATCTGTGCTGTCTTGATTTTTGCCTTCTTTCCAGGTACATAAAGCATTTCTTCTGTCTTGATGATCAATTTGATTCCATTACAAAGAAAGATTAGTCAAAGGTAAACAAACGAACAGAAGTTCGCTAAACAAATATGGTCGCCTTTATGATTCTTAAAAACACACCCCATCCGTGAGATAAAGGTACATGAAGAAATCTTTGATGTAATTCCATTACTTGTGTTCCAGCGATCCAAGTTTGTTTCAGTCAGCAAGTTATATAGGCTGCGCTCATATCCACATGCAAAGGAAGGGTCTGACGTCATGCCATTAAATTCCCCCCCGACAAAATGATTCTTAACTGCAGAATCGCATATTTAATCACCACAAAAATAAAGGGGAGAAAAGCACACACAAACGTCTGTGTGGTTTGTAAACAACCAAAACTCCAGTATGGAATAGAATATCTTTTAAGTTCTCATTTTCATAGTCAAAGTCTGTATGAACAGGATTGTAGAGGCAGTGTGTTTTTGTCTAAGCTTTTCGATTTCGCTCCTGATGATGTCCTGCTGATTACACTTTAATATCCCGTGTTGAGCAACTCCGTCTACACAGTTACATTTTTGGAATACATTCAACATTTTTTTTTTTTTTTAAGATTGAAAGAAAAAAGTACACAAATGCACTTCACATGGTGGCAACTAAAAAAGAATCCAAGGAAAATTTTCAAAACGAACAAAAATAGTAGCAGCCCCAAGTGCTCTTCCTTTTGTAGTCCAATACTTTGTTTATATTCATAGATTCATATATAATCATATATAACATTAAAAGAAAAAATAAATCGCCATCATTGTCGTCGACAACAACAATGAACAAGTAACAAAATATACAAACATTTTGTGCACTGCTGAGTGCACTTGCACAGTTTGTTGCGATCTTTTTTTTTTTTTTCAGCCAGAAATAGTCAAAACCTCAGTCACTCGAGAGCAAGAGAGTGGACAGAAAGGCAATGTTAGGTCACATCCTCCAAATATCAAACATTTTTCATCCAAGCATCCCCAGGCTACAATAGAACTGTACAGAGATAGGCTCTTGGTTCATAAGCATGGGAGGCATGTGGGGGCGGAGCCTTCCAAAGGAAACCACGCCCCTTTGCTAAAAAAATAATGTCTCAATGGCAGCAATGAAGTCTAATCATTCGCCCTTTAGTTCTTAGGCACACATGTGGGGACAGAAAAACACCACACACACATGAAGCAACGTACGTACCACAAGTAACCATTTCCTAAAGGTATACAAGATTGAGCTCTTCAACAACACACAAACAAAACAATGCTGCTAATGACATGTTCTTAAACCTCACAGAGGCAAAGATGAGGCAGCGGAGGCAGGAAAAGACGTCTCTTGCACTCCCTACCATGAAAACTAAGAGTGCTGGTTGGCGTAAAATGGGCTAAAGCTTTTGTGTTTGAAGCTAGAGGTCTTTCTTTGTTGGGGAATTGAAGGGCTGGTGAAAGAGGATGTGTTGTGCCGATGCCCCCCCTTCTCTCTGTCTTTCTTTCATTCATTCATTCTACACACACAGGCACACAATCACAAAAATATTCATCTCTAATATCTAACGCATTTTTTTTTTTATCTTTTTAACTTGCATTTTATGTGAGTGCAAATCTTCAAGTTTTATAATCAAAGTTTTTTTTATAATAGCTTTAAATTTTTTAATAGAAACTTTATATATATGTATATAAAAAAACAACAGTGTTTGTCTTTAAAGAGAGGATTTGTTTTTCTGATAATGTCTGAACTGAAACGCGCAATGGTCCCCCAATCGCCACCATTTCCTCCCAGCACAAACTCCAGTTCTGTTTCAACACACACACACAGTATATATATATATGTGGTAACATTTCTGAAGCATACCACATAAATATACAAGTAAATCTTCTCGAAAAAAAATCTTAATAAAGTGCATTAGTCTGAGTGTAAGGTGCTTAATGCTGTAAGTGCCAGAACTTTATCACCCCCCATCCCCCGAAAACACACACACACAAAAATAAATTCACACCTGTTCCCTTCCCTGTTGAATTACATTCTTCTATTCCCAGAGCAAAACCCACCCACCCCTAAACCGATACCTTACTCCTGGCTTATCCCCAAACCCCTCTCCCTCAAAGCAGTGCACATTCGACTTGCGGAGTCTGATTAGGTGGACCCGCGGGTTTAAAGGCCTCGTGTAGCTATTGCTGTGGATTCAGTAATCCTCCACCATCTCCATCTCGTTTAGACCATACCGATCAGGGCCACCATGGAATGAGTAACCTAAAGAGAAAGGGAGAGGAAAACAAATTCAATTTCAAATACAGTAGAAAGTTTTTGTAGAGGTTCTCTAGGGGATGCATGGCAAATTATCAACAAATCAAACAGCTTATAATGAATTAAAAGTGCACTACCATTCAAAAGTTTGGTGTTAAGATATATATATATATATATATTTTTTTTTATAAAGAAGTCTCTTATGATCACCAAGGCTGAAATTATTTGGTCAAAAACACAGAAAAAACAAAGGGTAACATTGTGAAATATTATTACAATTTAAAATAATTTTTCTATTTAAATATATTTTGAAATAGAATTCATTCCTGTGATGGCAACGCTGAATTTTCAGCAGCCATTAGTCCAGGCTTCAGTGTCAGAAATTACTCTAATATGCTGATTTGGTGCTCCAGAAACATTTCTTATTAACCATGTTGAAAACAGTTGTGCTGCTAAATATTTTGAGTCAGCAATTCAGCATTCTTTGATGAATAGAAGGGTAAATGTCTTTTTTTTTTATAATTTTTTTTTTTTTTAATGTAATTGAAATTGAAATCTTTTCTATCAGATTTGAAGTGTTCACTGTCACTTTTGAATTAAATGCATCTGCCAAATAAAAGTATTTTTAATTAAAAAAAAAAAAACCTTCCCAACCCCAAGCTATTGAATAGTAGTGTAGGTTTTCATTAAACTTCTCACAGTTAAATGGAGCATTTCATTCCAGAGCAAAATTTCATTTCACAAAAAATCAAACCCTTGCACAAACCATAAAAAAAATTTCTGATTCCTCTTATATGTTCTTTTATAGCGTGAGAAATATTTGGAAAAATGGTGACCCATACTTGGAATTAGTGCTCTGCATTTAACCCATCCAAAGTGCACACACACAGCAGTGAACACACACACACACCGTGAACACACACCCGGAGCAGTGGGCAGCCATTTATGCTGCGGCGCCCGGGGAGCAGTTGGGGGTTCGGTGCCTTGCTCAAGGGCACCTCAGTCGTGGTATTGAAGGTGGGAGAGAGTGCTGTACATTCACTCCCCCCACCTACAATCCCTGCCGATACGAGACTCGAACCCGCAACCTTTGGGTTACGAGTCCGACTCTCTAACCATTAGGCCACGACTTCTCCACAACATTCCCCCCACCAGCACGACTTATGCACAACATTACACAGCAAGTTCTAAGCTGTATGTGTTTAATTCACTAAAAGTCATTGTTTTTCAAAAGTTCACAAAAAATTTTTAAAGTTTACTAAAAACAACCATTGTGGTTCATGAATAACCAGCTGACAGGAGTCATTTGTTCAGGAATCAGACTACTCTGCTCATGCTGTAAGTACAAGAGGAAAATAGGTTACCTAAGATGCTTGGGTCAGAGTGCAGCATCATGGGCTGTTTCTTCTTAACCATTAGGCCACGACTTCTCCACAACATTCCCCCCCCAGCACGACTTATGCACAACATTACACAGCAAGTTCTAAGCTGTATGTGTTTAATTCACTAAAAGTCATTGTTTTTCAAAAGTTCACAAAAAAATTTTAAAGTTTACTAAAAACAACCATTGTGGTTCATGAATAACCAGCTGACAGGAGTCATTTGTTCAGGAATCAGACTACTCTGCTCATGCTGTAAGTACAAGAGGAAAATAGGTTACCTAAGATGCTTGGGTCAGAGTGCAGCATCATGGGCTGTTTCTTCTTCAGCTTTGCTGCCTGATCATAGACCACACCCCCCTTCCCAGAATGCACTGCCTGGAACATTGTCTGCAGGGCACTGGGGTTCATTCCTCGTACAGTATCCTAACAGACAAAAAGAATGTGAGAATGAGAGGCAAAATCTGATAAATGACAACTAAGACTGGGTTCTGCCCTCTGTGTCAAATTAGAATTTCACTCATACCTGCAGAGGGAAGTTGTTCATGCTAAGTCCAGCCATCTCTTTGGAGAGCTATAAGAGAGGCCCCAGATTTTTTATTAGGAGTAGGCAAACAGCCCCACACAATGACTCTATATCTTCCTGTCACACACACCTGCTGCTGCTGTCTCTGGTGGTTAGCTTTCTGTTTGGCACGGCGCTCCAGGAACTGTCTGGCAAACTCTTTGGCTTCGACAGTGTCGCCCAGGTAGGAGCAGATAAAGTTCAACACCTCATACGGGGACTCCACCTCCTTCAGGTACGCCACAATGGTAGGCACTGTGAACACACACGCTCACATTTTTGCTTTAGAAACTCTCGGGCCTGCTGGGCTAACAAGTGTGTGTTTACTGTACACATGTCTTCTGTTTGTTTTTACAACCTGAGGGACGAGTCTAAATTACTTTCCACCATAATCGTCAGCTTCGGCAGATGTTGTCAAAAGAGAATTTGTATTTCAGATTATTTTTTAATACAAAGCGACCCAAATGAGACAAAAGCTGGTGCATGCAAATCCTAAACGAGAGATGTCTTACCATCCTGGGAAGAGGAGGAGTTATTGGCGGAGGTGTTGAGCGCATGCAGCATCTGTTCACACCAGGTGGTGAAGCCATCCTGAGACTTCATCCCCTGCAGGAGCTTCAACAGCCGCTCCTCCTCCTCCTCAGTGTGTTTACGGCCTCTCATCATGTACTGCTCACTGTAGAAACACACACAAACGGTTAAGCTAGAACTAACACTTCGGATTGTTTGAGCATAGTGCTGCTAGCAATGCCAAGGTCATGAGTTTGATTACCAGTTTGATATACTTTTTAAAATATAAACAAGAAAATTTTTGCCATGACCTTTCTGGTCATTAATGATTATGGTAAAGAGATTTTTTTTAAAAGTGGCTTGTAAACCTGCATCCACGGTCGGGAGGAGCCGAGTCGGATAATGCTTGTGTGTGCAAATGGATAATATAATATATAATAATGATATATTAAGATATTAATAAAGAAACATAAACAGATACAGGGCTGCCAACTCTTAGGCATTCAGCGCGAGACAGTCAGAATTCACTAAATGCTAAATGCCACACATAGACACGTGGATGTAAATAAGATATAATATTTGCAGTTTAGAGAGCTTCATTGAATACAACGGAACATTGTGAGATTGCGATAAATTAAAGTGAGTGACAGCTTTTTAGTGATTATATTGAACCGCTATTTGCTCGCTTTCTAGGCTATAATCAATTCCGAATTTGAAGTTTTGTTTTACGTGCTGCTAACAGGACCAACGTCCACATACCCTGTAAATGCAGCAAAGTTTCAGGAGTGACATACAGTATATCCCGCATCCCTCATAAATGTGGGATTCACTTTCGAAATAGCTTGTTTGCAACCAGGGTTAGTCGCTAGGCCTATATCCACCACCTCGAAGGCAGGCAAGTATTTAGCTGAAAAATCCCTCCTCTTTATAGCATAAAGGATCACATCCAACATATGTTGTGATTTTCTGTTTATAATTTTCTCATTTAATAGTGTCTAAACCAGTTCAGTACAGACTTTCCTCCATCTCATCCATTCGGCTATTCACTTCCTGCCCTCCATCTGGATTTCGCACATCGTCAGAATCTCGTGATTACTAGATATTGGTCTATGCCACTGAAAAGCTGTTAGTGGTTTGTGTTTACCTCAGTGAGGGACTGCTGCGGCTGTTCTTCAGCCCCATGTTGTTGCGAAGTGTGCTCTGGTTCTTGAGAGCCTCATCCCAGACTCCCATCCCTCCTCCAGAGGGGCTGCCACCACCCACCTTTCCATCCAAAGATCCAGCCGCTCCCCACAACGAAGAGGCATCACCCCACTGTAGAGCGAGACACCCATAATGTATTTATTTTGATTTTCAGGACTGCACACCAGTGATTTTTTGTGTGTGTGTGTGTCTTACCCTCTGCTGCTGTTGGACTCTGTGCTGTTGTTTGTGCATTCTTTCAGCCTCCTGCTGGACATCCAGGAGGTTGAGGGGCTTGGTCTGCTTTCCCAGCCCAGGGATGGGTCCTCCGCTCCAGCTCGACCCGGAGCCTGAGGAACCCTGGCGTGGAGCCTGCTGGAGCAACTTCATTAGCAAATCCTGCTGCTGGGAAAAAGAAAAACCAAGATATGAAGAAAAAGATGGAGTGTGAGAGAGAAAAGTATACAACTAAATAACTACTAAAACAAAATTAATTTTACACTACCATTCAAAAGTTTGGAGTTGGTAAGATTTTTATGTTTTCGAAAGACATCTCTAATGCAACTGCATTAATTTGATTAAAAAACAGAAATATTGATATATTAATATAATTTTACATAATTCATTTCTATTCTAGAGAGAGTGTCAAATGCAAAAAAAAAAAAAAAAAGATTTCTTCCTCACGCTTGGCCCTGAGTTCAGCTTCTCTTCTCTCATGTAGCTGGAACACAATACAGTGCAGTGCAATGAGAACCGGAGTTTGAGTCCAGTGCATTTCCTCAGATCACCAGCAGAGGGCATCCGCGGCACCTCTCACCTTCTGAAGCTGTTCTAGAATTGGACCCTGAGTTGAAGAATTCATTAAGTCCCATAGACTGGCCTCACCGCCTGCTCAAGGAAAAGAGAGAGCGTGAAAGAAAGTTTGTTTTCAGATGCAAGTGAGCGAGTAAAGAAAGGATGACTTTTTAAGTGTTTTGTGTGTGCACCTGCTGGCTGTGAGGCTGAGGTATGCATGTCCCACATGGACCCTGTATCTGGCACTGACATCGACCTGTTTAACGAAGGCATCATACCCTGCTCTTCACACCTACAAGAAAAAAAACACACATAGAGGGTTGTAATACAGTCTTAAATAGATGAAGCATACTCAGTGACACTGCAAAAAGACACACAAACATAAACTAACCTGTTGATGAGTTGGAACAGCTGCTGTTGCTGGAGTTGCTGGTAAAGAGCCTTGGCGGCAGCTAATTCCTGCTGCTTCTTCAGCCGCTCCTGATCCATATTACCCTGATAGACAGAGAGGTCAATAACACACATCAACCCATGACAGAGTGATTTATCTCATGCATTTATTCATGAGAGAGACTCTAAGAGACACGCATAAGTAGGGCTGGGAATCGTTCAAAAATGTTCAATATCGATACCGATACCGGTTCCTGAACGATACTTTTTTCGATACCAATTTTATGAAATCTATTTTAACAAGATTACATTATCTAAAAAAAAGGTTTTATTTTTCAGCTTGTTTGTGTTTATACAGACTCAAAGACTCATCTCCTGAGCCACTGCACAAAGGAACAAAATGTAACCAACACAATAAATCAGAGCAAAATAGTTTTAATAAAGCTCAAATAGTCTTCAGTTTACACATCTGTTAGCTACATTTACACTAGTGCGTGTTTGTTTTAAAACGCATAGCTCAGACAGAATCATGATTTCTATTTATTTTCCACTGATTTAAGGCCCGTTCACACCAAGCACGATAACTATAAAGATAACGATAAAGATATAGTTC